AGGTTGCACCTCAACGTAAAGAACACAAAAATCCTCACCACTGGACCAGTAATTTACATCATGATGAATGGAGAAAGATTGAAGTTGTCAATGACTACATTTTGCTTGGATCAACCATCAACACTCATGGAAGCAGCAGTCAAGAAATCAGATGACATACTTACTGCGTTAGGCAAATCTACACAGGACCTCTTTAAAGTGTTCAATAGCAAAGATGTCAGTTTGAGAACGCCTGATCCAGCCCATGGTAATTTCAGTAACTTCGTAAGCATGTGAAAGTTGGACAATGAATAAGGAAGACTGTAGGAAAATTGATGTGTTTGAGTTAACGGTGTTAGAGAAAAATGTTAAAAGTATCATAGACTTCTAGAAGAACAAGCAACTCTGTGTTGGAAGAAGTACAGCTAGAATGTTCCTTAGAGGTCAGGATGGCAAGACTTCATCTGTCATGCTTCAGACATACTATCAGGAGGGACCAATCTCTGGAGAAGGACATCGTGGTAGGTAAAGTGGAGGGACAGAGAAAAAGAGGAAGACCCCCAATAAGATGGATTGGCACAGTGGCATCAGCAATGGGTTCATGTGTCACAACTATTGTGAAGATGGTACAGGATTGAGCAGTGTTCCATTCTTTTGTGTATAAGGTCACTATGAGTCAGAACCAGCTTGACAGCACCTACTTGAAAGCGTTTGTTGTTTTTAAGTGCATTAGAGCTAGTTCCAACTCAATGCAATTCTGTATACAAAGGAAGGAAATTCTTCTCCATCCCGCACCATCCTCCCCACTCAAACCATGTGTCAGCTCATCTCCTTTAGCATCTTCCCTTTTTTCTCTCTCTACCAAGAAGTCCTGGTGTGGCGCTGTGGGAAAGCACTGGACCGCAAGATCAGCGGTTCAAACCCTCCAGCCACTCCTTGGAAACCCTATAACAGGGGTCACTATGAGTCGGAACTGACTCGATGGCACTTAACAACAATTACCACCAAGTACATGATGTCCTTCTCTCGGGAAGTCCCCCCGATGACATGACATGACTAAAGCTTACTAAAGTAAGCTGCTGTTACAAAGTTTGGGCGCAACTGACTGAGGCAGTGATTGTAGAAGCTGTTATCATAAAGACCTTTCTCACTTTGGAATATTTTTAGAAGCTGCAAGATTGTGTCTAATTTGAAGGGCCTGATGTTTGAGGCCAGAGATCAGGCAGGAAGGAGGATGATCTCTGTGGGAGCAGCAGTTTGTTGAGTCCTCCAGGGAGTCTGTTTCTTTGTCTGTAGACCTGACGTGTTCGGCCTCTCATGTGGAGGAAGAAGAACAACAAAACACTTCAAAGGCACTGGGGGCTAGAGAAGCACTCCCCTAAGCCGCCACTACATCTCTGACCTTTAGGCAGTACTTGCTTCTCTTCTCCTCCTGGCAGCAGCAGAAGGCAGACAGAATGGTAAACCAACATTGGCTCATGGACTTTCTTCTGAAGGCTCAGCCACAGTGTCCCTCAGTCCAGTCTCCAAAGACACCAGAGGTCCCTCCTAACCTGTGCAAACAGCTTTCTTTCCAAGAAAAATACTACGAGTCTTTTGATGTGAAGACACCATCTGAACTATTGTCACTGAACTCTACAGCTTGGACTGAAACACTATACTGTGCGTAAAACTTCCAGAGAGTTATCTTTTTTTTTTTTTTTTTAATCATCAAGAATTATTCCTTTTGTAACAGGGGAGTGGTTAATCTTACAGTCCAGAAACAGAGGACCCTAGGACCACAAGCAGAATGCAGGACTTTCGCCAGAGATGGAGGCAGAGATGGGGGCATGGAGAGGGGGAGTGGCTGAGGATTCTAGATTCATGGACTAAGAAGAGAAGGGCTAAGAGCTGGTGGCCAGGAGCAGACTTGCAGAATGTGCCCTTTGGAGATGTAAATCATTATACATGCCTGAGTGGGTTTTTTGTTTGTTTGTTTTTAAAAAGCTAAAGTGGATAGAGAGAAAGACTATTAACTGATGGTACATGGAGGGGATTATAATCATTGTAATGAAACAAGGTGTGTGATTTGTTGAATGTAAAACTAATGATCTGCCCTGTAAACTTTCACTCAATCCGCAATAAAAACCTTAAAAAAAAAAAAAAAAAGAATTAGTCCTTTTGTGTGGGCAAGAGGCTGGCTTGCAAAATGTGTTCTTTGGTCATTTATATGAGTATATATTTTCTGTGTGCTTTGGGTACATCAAAAAAAGGAGGGAATAGAGGTAAATACTGTTAACCAGTGGTACATGGAGGGAATTGTAATCATTGTGATGAAACAAGATACGATTGGTTGAGTATAAAACTGACGATCTTGTTTAAAAAAAAATAAAAGCTAAAGTGAATAGAGAGAAATACTGTTAACTGATGGTACATGGAAGGGATTATAATCATTGTAATGAAATAAGGTATATGATTTGTTGAATGTAAAACTGATGATCTGCCCTGTAAACTTTCACCCAATCCACAATAAAAACCTTAAAAAACAAAACAAAACTGATGATCTGCCCTGTAAACTTTCAATCTACATTGAAAAAAAACCAAAAAACTGATGATCTGCCCTATAAACTATCACTCAATGCACAATAAAAACTTTAGGAAAAAAGAATTATTCCATCTGTGAATGTAAACATTATTAGCTACTGAAGACATTGTATAGGAAAACACTTTTTTTTTACCTTACTAGATCTCCTGAGTACCTGTTACCTTAGCCTCAAAGCCCTGTATGTAGCTTTGTTGCCCTCTTTCCGGGGCCTCTGGGCCTAGAAGTTTGAGGTGCTTTCAGAGCCATCCTCCCTGGTTCCGCTGCCTCCACCCAGGCTGGAAGCTTGTCACCTCTCATCTCTATTGCTCAGAATAAATCCCTCTTTTTTTCTTATTATAAAAGTGACACATGCCTAGCATAGAAAAAAATTGTAAATGCAAGACATATAAGGAGGAAAATAGTGTTTAGTTATACTTTGGATTTTATTTCTAGTCCTTTGTTGTTGTTAAGTGCTGTTGAGTCAGTTCTGCCTCATAGCGACCCTGAATAGGTTTTCTGCGGAGCGGCTGGTGAGCTTGAACCGCCAACCTTGCTGTTCAAACCAACCTCGCAGTCCAGCGCATTAACCCGCAGTGCCACACCAGGACTCCTCTAGTCCTTTGGAAGTGTATATATGTATGTATATTTAGGGAAAATTTGTGTATCCGTATTTAGGAGTTTGAACCTCAAGGTTGGTGGTTCAAGCCTCATCAGCCACACCTCAGAAACCCTATACAGGGTCTCTGTGAGTTAGAATTGAGTCAACAGTACTTAACAACAACAACAATGTGTATTTAGGAAATTTTGTGTTTATCTGTGTATTTAGGAATATTTGTATGTGTATTTAGGAAAATGTGTGTGTGGTTAGAAAATATGTATGTGGATTTTGGAAAATGTGTGTGTATAGGAAAATTTGAATCTGTTCTTTGTACGGCTTCATATGGTGATTTTTATTTATTTTTTATACTCAACATAGCAACATTTTCCTACATTAAGTATTTTTCCAAAACAGTGTTTTGATGACTATACAATATTCCCTTATATGAGGGGAGCAGAATTTCTTTAACAATATTGCTAACCATGTGTTGTTATAGTAAGTGCTGTCAAGTTGGTGCTGGCTCACAGTGATCCTGTATTGGTTTTCCAAGGGTCAGCTAGTGAGTTTGAACTGTTGATCTAGTGGTTCGCAGTTCAGTGCTGATCCTACAGCCCCACACCAGGAGTCCGTGTTAACCATTTATCTCTGTTTTTCAGTATTAAATGCAGCGCTTGTTTTTCAGTATCTGTTCACAGAAGGAAAGCTGGTGACAAAGTGGGTTAAGCATCAGGCTGCTCCATGGGAAAAAGATGAGGATCTCTGTTCCCTTAAAGATTTACAATCTCAGAAACCCTATGGAGCAATTCTCCTCCGTCCCTACAGGGAGGGTCACTATGAGTCAGAATCCACTCAACAGCAGTGTGTGTGGTTCACAGTACACTGTGGGGATTAGAAACGGCAGCTCTGGAGCTAGAAAGGCGATGGATGGCTCAAATACCCATCCTGCCATTTCTTTGTTGTGTGCGCCTGTGCCGTAGTTTCTTTCATTTGTACCTAATAAGATGCATGCAGTGTGCTCATTAACCCAGATTTTGACACTTAGTAAATTCTAATAATCAATGCAGCTATAATTGTCACTAAATCTGCAATTAGCATAGTTTTAGCATAGTTCATAGCAATTAGATTATAGCATCAAAGTATATGAATATTTTAATGCCTTTAATCACTGTCATGTAAATTTCTAGAGAGATTCTACCAATTTTTAGTCACACAAGGAGCTAGCTAATCTTACCTCTTGCCACTATGCCACCGTATTTTTTGTTGGATTATACCAATCTGACGCACAAAACCCACACCTTGTAACTTACAGTGCTCCAATTGCCAGTGGAAATAACTAGTTTGAAATGTTTCACAGGCTAATTGTATTTCTTCTTCATAAATCGTGTATTGAACTCAGTGCAATGCCTTTTGTCTATTGACTGTCCATCTCTTCTTTCCAAATCATTGAGTTCTTTGAAAATAATAATATAATAATAATAGCTAGAAACTGTTGAGCGTTTTGAGCTTTCAGATGAGGAAGCCAGGGCCTAAAAGACTAAGCTTTTCTTGGGACACAGTGTATGTGCTCAGTAATTCTGTTTCTGTTGTCCGCCTTTGTGTTTCGTCACACCTAGCAGGGTTCAATGCCTTTCACGTAGTAGGAGCAGAATAAATGCTTAACATGCAGTGGCACTAATCCCTGACTTCTGCTGCTTGTGCACAGAAGCCAACCTTTACTGGGTCCCTGTGTCACCACCCCTGGTTCAGTTCCAATGAGTCATCATCCCCTAGACTCTAATGGATGCTGACTTTGTCCATATGTTTTTAATGATACTTTGCTCAAACTATAAAATCAGCCTCTTTCCCTCACTTCATTTCCAGGTATCAAACATGAATTTGGCAAGTGGCGTCATAAGCAGAAGCAGTGCTTCACCTCCCCCCACCCTCCGGCCTGTCATCAGTCCGAATGTCCCGACATGGTCAAACCAGTCAGACCCCCAAGCTCCCGAGAGTCAATCCAGCCCTCCTGGAAGCAGGTATGTGAAGAGTCATACAGTGTTTGGGTTACATGGGGACGGCTCGGGTTCTATGCATGCCCTTCCCACCTCAGGTTCTGTATAGCCAATGCCTTTTCCCACCTGTCCAAATCCCCTGGCACTTGGATTAAAAGACCTCATTTTACTTGTGAGGCAGTTTTAAGCAAAAGTGAATGAACAGGAGATTTCTGATACAGTTAAGCACATTGGCTTCTGGGTAAAGAGCAAAAATGTTGACTGTTTCATGCTTGCCTGCAATCAACATTGTCATGTACTAACTTTTGACATTTTCTCCTAGTTCTTTTTTGTACCTCACACTATGTTGTGTTTCACTGGCTTTGAACTCTCTTTCTTTGATGGACATGTTTGTTTTTTTATGTCTTCATCTAGGTTATATCATTAAACCCAAACAGCCTCCCTTGACATTGTTCATTTGGGCAGTGGGAAGGAAATTACCTTTATGTAGTTGAGAGAAGTGGCAGTGGGTAAAATCCAAATCAATTCTGAGCATAAAGTACACAACTCCCAAATTAACAAAGAAACCATTGTATTCAGTGTTGGTCTTGCTCCATCTTTATGTCCTCCCTGTACGTACGTAGATATAGAAAAGTAAGGCTTCCCAATACAGCTTGCTGTAGTGGCCATTAGTTATATCGAATCACTTTCTGAGTCAAATGAGCTCGAGATAATGTGTCTGAAGAAAGATTGTGACCCACTGATCTGTTTCATCATCTGAATGGATGCTCCCCAGCAGACGTTCCTCTGAGCTCCCACCCCGAGCTTCTGCCCAACTGTGTCTTTGTACCTGCCCTGCTCTGAGGCTGGGAGGACGGGTCCAAGACTTAGAGGAAATACCTAAGTGTTGTAAAGGTATCTGTTGCTGCTACAGTTACTACTTAAACTGCTAATTTGGGAAGCAGAAACTCAACCCAGGAAACAACATAAACACAAGCCCACTATATCATGCACTGCTGGGCACAGTATCTTCATACCAGTAATCACTGTGGTCAGGGTGGGAGAAAAAAATTTTTTCAATTGAAAATTACAAAGAGTTGGAGACCTAGAAGAAGCAAGTTTTAAGGTAGGACATTCTTCTACACCATTCTCTTGCTGGCAAATGCTAGTGATTGGTGATTTACCGTATAATGTAATGTATTCTAAAAGCAAGAGTGGGAAAAAAGAAATCTCTATATACCACAGATTTTTATTTTCCTTTGTTGTTGTGGCTAGTGCTGTTGAGTCATTTCCAGTGCATAGTGACCCTGTCTAGAGTTTCTGAGGAGCGGCTGGTGAGTTTGAACCTCCAACCTTGTGGTTCAAACCAGCCTTGCAATCAGTCGAGTGCTTATCTTACAGCGCCATACCTTAAACGCCTAAAATCACAACCCTGTTTCTAGGAAAAGCATTTTCACTGCAATCTGGATATATTACCTGTATGACAGGCCATAGTCATTTTCCTTACAGTAAAGTAGATAAAACTATACATTTTGAGGAAGTTTTGCATTTTTTTATATTTATAGTTAGGACGAGGAAAAGTTATTTTCTATAAAATGTATGGTTGGGTTTAGAACCTTAGTAGCATCTTTTAGTACCAAGACACATAAGATAGAAGTCAGAGCTAGGGCTTAGAGTACCACGCTGTGAGTGACCTTTTCCCACCCAGCCTGTGCTCATGAACGTTGTAGTATACAGTTTACTCCAGAGCCATTGTAACCAAAGAGCCATAGGGCCACCTCGCTACACACATGCACGAAATTCCCTGACCCTTTCCTCCTTGGGTTAGTTGTGTTCACAGTACTATTGTTGTTGTTAAGTACTGTCGAGTCAGTTCCAACTCATACCAACCCTTTGTAGGGTTTCCAAGAAGCAGCTGGTGGGTTTGAACCACCGACCTTGATGTTCAAGCCGACCTTTTGGTCCAGTGCATCATCCCACAGCACCCTCTTCTTCAAGTCTATGAACCAGTATTCTGGTCCTATTCCAGTCCAGGGTTGTTGTTGTTGTTAAGTGCCATCGAGTCGGTTCTGACCCGTAACGACCCTATATAGGGTTTCCAAGGAGCTGCTGGTGAGCTTGAACCGCCGATGTTGCAGTTCAAACGGCTTTGCAGTCTGGCGCATTAACCCACAGTGCCATACGTTCCAGTCCAGGGTAGCCCTGGGAAATCTTCCTCTGGCCCCAGATAATCTCTGTTCAGGGCTGCCTTGGGGCTCACCTCCAGAGTTCGAATTTCAGGTGGAATTCCCATAGTACCTACTGTAAAGCAGCCCTAAATGGGTTCTCCGTCGAGCCCTGGCTCTGACTGGTCCCCAGCCAGCATTCTGCACAGTACAGGTATGCACTGCATCACATGCCTTTGGCCAGTGCCCTGTGGGATGGGGTGGAGCGGCTTGGTTGGAAGGGCCCCATGAGATAGGAGCAGTCTTCCATGAAGGTCACTGATGTGTGTGTTCTACCTAGCTGCCCTGAGATTAGTGACCACAGTGAGGCACTTGGCTGCAGCTGCTCCACTCTGTCCATCGGGGCCAAGTACAGGTGCAAGTTTCAAACCCCAAGACTCCAGGTGTCGACAGAGAGCCAGAGTAGTTTATGTGGGAGTGGCTTTGATATATGTATGTCGCATATGACACATACACAAGGGCTTCAAAAAGTTTGTGGAAAAATGGAATTGGAAGGTAATCAAAGTCCCCGCATATACAAGTATACATACTATATATAATACGGTGTTCACACAGTGTCCAAATCACACAACATCCCATTTCACAGAATGTGTCCTGGACATTAAGCAACCATGCCCCATTCCCAATTTTCCTGGTAAGCCACAGATTTGTAGATAATTTGTGTGGTCTCTTGTTTCTTTTCTCTTAGTAGTAAGGGTGACAGAGATCAATGAATATGGAATCAGTAGCTTAGAAATGTGACTTTTATTACTGATGTTGACACTAAGAGACCCAAAACTATATATCTCATCTTTTTATTGGATAAACATATTGTTGTGAAGTGCCGTCAAGTCAGTTCCGACCCATAGCGACCCTGTATAGGGTTTCTGAGGAGCAGCTGGTGAGCTTGAACCACCGACCTTGTGATATATATAAATTATCTTGTGGGTTAGTGTGCTGGACTGCAAAGTCGGTTTGAACCACAAGGTCGGTGGTTCAAGCTTACCAGCTGCTCCTCGGAAACCCTCTGCAGGGATGCTATGGGTCAGAACCGACTCTACAAAACTTCACAACAACTCATACTTGTACAATAGCAACAGTGCGTTCCAGTGCCATAAACTCAGATAAGTCATAAAGCCAGGAGCTGCCTGGTAAACAGGAATGAGATGTAAAGAGAAGCCCATTGCTGGCTGTACTTTTCATCTCCCCACACTGGAGGAGTCAGTGACTTGGTAGCCACAGGAATGAAAACCGGTGACTCACCAGAACTCTGCAAACAGTGTTATTTTTCATTTCCCTGTAGTGTTGCCATTGTTCTCAATTTTATGCATCATACAGATTCTCACCAGACAACCTTGTTCTTTCCCCGCTGTTTTGTAACCACCCCAAATGTAGCCTCAGGGCTGTCATCTCCCATTGGGTCAGTGTGAGCTCAGCCCAGCTCCTCAAATCTCTTGGTTCCTTTGGTCTGTCTGGAGGCCCCGTTTTAGCTTTGTTGTGGGAGAGGAAGGCAGAAAGCCCATGACTTGCCCAGACAGTCTGAGGCCTGGCCATTTAGCTTGCTGCTCCCTGGACACTCTGGAGTTGGACTTGGCCAGTCATTCCTCTGTTGTTACTTTTCAGAGGTAATAAGTGAGATTAATTGCAGGCCATTCTCCAGAAGAGAAAGTAGTCAGGGCCAAATGCAGTCACATGTTGGGAAGGCTGAGGTGTGCCTCCCTGCATGGCCAATTTAGGATTATACAACATCACCTCCGAGGCACGGTTCCATGGGGTCTGACTTTTTATTTTCTTGACTTTCTTAATGCTGATACCTGGCTGTTTAAATGTTTCTTTGGCCAACAAGATTGATTAGCTCTTCAAACTGCCTTTTCATTACCCCCTTTCCTGGGTGCATAGAGAGTAATCAGGGACACAAACATGATGTCCACAGTCATTTCTTGATGGCTGCCAGCCTTCCATGGAACTGGGCCACATCAGGGAGAAGTGCTTTCTAGGTGCGGAGCCCTCAGTGGGTTCAATGGGGCAGTTTGCTTTGTGAGACCTGGAAGGGTTACTGTAAAGTCTTGGCTGCTGCTAGCAACGATTTGGGAAGGACAGGGCCTCAGACAGCTTGGCAGGAAGCAGAGGCCCTGTTTTTTTCCAGTTCAGCCCTTTCTCGTGGATCGAGCTGTCAGGGAATCCCACGAATGTCTGGCTTCTGCCCCTTTGTATATTTTTCCAGCATTTGTCATTGAATTATTTTTATCCTTCTCTGGCTTTTTCATACATGCAACCTGGGGATTTGTCTGTTCCTCGATGTTAAAGGTGGAGGAGGTTAAGAAAGAACACAGCCATGTGTTTGTTTCTGCTTTTTGGTCTAGGACAAGGCATTGGAGGCCCAGATGGCTTGGCTTGGGCCAGGCTCCACTCTTGGGAACATCTTCATGTCAGAAATGTCATGGAATATTCTGCCAGGAGCGGGGCACACTGAGGCACCACCTCTGAGAAATGTGGACCATATTTGGTGTCATCCTGCCCTTCTGCCCTCTTATTCTTTAGTAGTGACAAGAAAGGGTCTGGTGTTCTGTTTTACATGACATTTTGTTGTTGTTAGGTGCCACCGAGGCAATTCTTACTCACAGTGACCCTGTGTACAACAGAAAGAAACAGCACCTGGTTCTGTGCCATCCTCACAATTGCGTCGGTCGAGCCCATTATTGCTGCCACTGTGCCATTCCAGCTCGTTGGGGGTCTCCCTCTTTTGTCCTGTCCCTCCACTTTACCAAAGATGATGTCTTTCTCCAGGGACTGTTCCCTCTTGATTATATGTCCATAGTATTAGAGACGAAGTCTTGTCAT